ACTTAAAACTCAAACTTCATCACAAAAAAAAATCCATTCGATCTTTTAAATGGCAAAAAGCTTTTAATCAGAAATTCAACCCCTCCTGAATTACGAGTGAAAAAAAAATGTTCGACATTACTTTATAACAAACTTTCCTTATTAAATTTTCTTAAAAACCTTTTCTTCTTTCAAATTCAAATTTTATATCAAAGATTTTTTTTTTTCTCAATCCATTCGCTCACTTCTTTCTTCATTCTCAAGTTCATTTTCTTAAATTATTCATCAAGTGCCATACTTTTTAGACGCTGCTCAAATAACTCAACATTTTATTGCGATTTTTCATGTGATGAAATGAAGCACAGCAGTAGTGAGAAAGAAGGAGAAGATATAAGGATGAAAGGTGTCAGATGTGAAGGATTAGAGCGCATTTTCCTGAATTTTTTTAAGAACCCCTTCAATTTATAGGCATTATTCCACACTTAATTACGAACATATTATGCTTAAGTAAATCACTTATACTGGATGTAGGAGTTTTAAGTAGAGCCATATGGACAGACAGACTAGTTTACAGGCTAACGGGCAGACAGGGAGATGCTTAAGAAAGCAAGCAATCATGAAAGCGATAAGGCAGTTAACAGACAAATGGACAATGCAAAGGCACAAGCATCACAAGGATAACCCAAACCCAACCCCCCAAAAAATCAAAAAAAAAGAGCATGAGAAGAACTTAACCATAGCTTGCTGGTATCTGCCATACATTACATAAATATTTCGTCTTCCAATGCACGTTTATGTATATGGTAGCAGTGTTTTGTTTCGATACACTCACTTTCCGAACTGAAAAAAAAAAATTGAGGGATATTGTGATAAATTTGCGGCGAAAACAAAATATCTGTGTCCAGCATACAAAATAATGTAACATAAATTCAAGATACATACAAAGAGTGAAAAAGATAAACTAGATGCGGATGAAGAAAGAAGGGGAAACTGCCAAAAAGAAGAGCAAGCAACAAAATTGTTTATATTTGTCTATGGACGGAATGTGCTGCTCTGTTACTAGAATAAAATGAATGTTTTGCCAATTGCATGTGATTTCTCTCATACCCTTGCTGGCCATTCCTCATACTCTTCAATTCACCACATTAATTATTTTTTGGTGCTTTTTTTTTGATGCTATTTGTGTTTGTTTTGTATTGTTTGGATGGTTGGCTGGCTGATTAAGGATTAATAAGTTGTGATATTAAGTATGCATCAATGGGTCGCTCGGGGTTCATTTGCAGCTCTCAAACTTACTCACCAGTCAAAGTCTGACACTTTTATGCTAAAACTCACAAATAGACTAGATCGCAAACATCACTGACCTAGGAAATGCTTTCTGTGTTAGGAATTCTCAAGAGCATCATGTTCATATTATTTTATGTCAGCTACTCATTTCAGTTTTCTTATCTTATGCGCTCTATTCCCCAAACATAATCAAACATCATTACTCATGCTCCATCTCGATCTTATATCTATCAGGGAGAGAGACTTTTTGTTGCCATTGCTGTTATGGCTGTTATATCAAGCGTATAACACAAAACTCGTTCAGTTTTCTAAAAAAAAAACTGCCAAATAGTATTAGTAAATAGGCTAACGGAACACAGCATAAAACGATGGCAATAGAATATTGGAAATGTACACATATACATTGAGTGAGAAGGATTGAAACGACAACAAAGGGAATGGATGGGATGGTGTGTATGGAGGAGAGGAAGGAATGGCAAATGGAAGTGAGAGGAAAAGCTTTCTTTTTTTGTATGTACATCCATGAATGTTATTGAACTGTAAATAGTATGACAAGAAAAGAACACAAATTTTCCTTTCCTATCTTGTTTTTTTTTCATTCAATGTATGGCGACATCGACGATGACGCAAACCACATAAGTGATGTCAGCATCAAATAAAAAAAAAAATTATATATAACAATGTTAACTTACAATGCATATATAGAGATGAAGGAAGAGGAGAGTGGATGAGAGAATGATTTCAACAACCAATGACAAGCGATAATGTCATGGAAAAGCAATAAATTTCTTCCTTTTCTTTTCATACACTTTATTTTCATTAAAACAATTTTCTTCTTATTAATCCTCTGTTTTTTTTATCACAGTCAAAAGGAAGAAAGCACACTGCACGTGTCGATGATAAAACACAAATATTTAGCTGTCTAAAACTTCTTCTCTAATTTTCTTCCTTTTCATTTCACAGTGCGATGTGCTTTCAAACGATTTTTTAGTGCATTAGACTTTATTTTTGGAAAATCAGGTTAGGTCTGTGAATTGTCTACTGTCTATGGGAGAATTGATGCATTCGAACTAATGGTTGACTGGAATTCTTTAACTTTAGTCTTCTTTCCATTCATACGATAAGTATTAAACCCAATTCAACTAGCTTATTGATGTCTGTAAAACATCAAATGCGCTTTAGCCACATTCTATCAAAAACAATCTTACTTGCTTTATATGCTCATACTTTCTATAATAGCATCAAGCTTAGCAAAGCAATGTATGACGAGGGAGATGGATGGATGAAAAAATGTCGAGAACAGAGACTGCAAAAATCTGCTGCTGCTGCTTTAGATGATGATCAAAAGTTTAACAGTCCAACGTCAAGAAATTATTTATTTTTCCTAAGCACCGTTTTGCATGACGGGAAAAATTCATTCGTGAAACCCATAAAGTTCAAAACATCATTAAAGTTTACCTAATGATTTTATGATTAACAACGAAAGCGTTAACGGAACATGAATTGGTTGATGTTGTATAAAAGTTCTCCGTGGTTGATAAAGATTTTATGCTGCTATGCAGAAGCTCTAAAATAGTTTGTAGATGTAAAATTAGAAAATAAAGTTAAATTAGTTTAGAAACCCCCGATGTATGCTCGTCTTTATGAAAGTTAAAGATTTTTTGAGGTTCTCTTTTCTATTTCTATATCGGTTAGCAACAAAGTTCATCATATTCACGCTCATGTCTATCCATGACAACATTAACCTTCAAAAAAAAGTTATCTAATCCTATTTTTCACGAGCATTACTTACAGAAGAAGTCACACACAAAAAAGACGTAACATAAATAAAACAAGCACACATAATAAAGAAGGAAGAGAAGAAGAAAAAAAACTTAGAAAACACATGAAGGACAAGCGACGGATAAAAATGACGTTGTGGAAGGCAAAAGTTTTTTTCTCTCCTTTTTCGACGTGTTTCCATTTTCATAACTGGAAGTTTATCAGTTATTATTGAATCCGAAAAAAAAAGATGAAGAGAAAACTATTTGAACAGCAGTAATAAAATGTTATTATCAATCCCATCATTTTCATCATCTCCTCCTCTTGCATCACTGTTCATTTTATCATCATCATATATGGTATGTTGTATAGATGAAGTAATTGAGAGATAGAGTTATAAAGTTACAATGTTAGGGATCGAAGGAGTGCCGATGGATCTCATTATCGTGTTTAAGACTAAATTAGGTGGATTTTTGGATGATTGGGGTATGCCAATGGGTTGTTTTGAGATTATGATGGGTCTGTATTAGGATTTTTTTGACAGCATCAGGTATCCTGAATTGGAAATTCAGAAGGGACTTAATCTTCAGAGTTGCTAGAAAAGAGAGGGGGGGGGGGGGGGGGGGGGGGGTGGCTGTCTAAAATGCAAGTTTTTGATGGAATTCGGTTTTTGATGGCACCATACAAAACTGCAACATTGCTTTGTATTCTATAACAGATTTAGTGTCACATGAAATTCAACAAATGCATTGCTAACCCCTGTGATGCTCAATGAGTATGTCAGGCGAGTTAAATAAACATAAGTTACAACTATTCAGATTAGAAACTAGTAAATCAACAAAGCTAGTCCTTAATATCTGACAAAGTAGTGACGTCAGACAGAAAATACCCCAAAAAACAAATGTAATTATACAATTTAAAATTCATAAGAACCCTCAGCACACCCAACAACATCTGACAATGCACAAGAAATGGTTAAAAAGTAACTAAGACAAAAATAAATAAAAAACGTATTCATGATTAATGGAAAAGTTATACTTGCATTTGCTGATAAAATGATGTTCTGTATAAAAAACACAACGGATATACGAAGCCATAAATGAATAAAGAATTCTAGTCTTGGAGGAAATTTCTTATTACAATATATAAATATATGTGTATGAAATATAATGCTATACCAAAATGTGTGAAACAAAAGGAAGAAAAAAATGTGTGGCTGCGCAAATGCGAGGATAAAAAGATACAAAAAAAAAAGCAAAACAAAAAAAAAAATCTCCGTAAAAAAGGAGAAGCAAAAGAGTTTTTTAGGAATTCTATTCAAATCACGCAAATTTTCATTCAAATTAAATACAATCCTTTCTGCAGCCTAACTCACTCCATATATGTGTACGCTTGTGTATATCTCATTGCCATTTTTTTTCCCGAGGTTTTTTCATTTTCTCTCACACAAAATGTTTGTATCTATGGCTATGTGAAATGAATGCTGTATAGATGTATACAAAAATAAAATTATTCAAACTTATACCTCATGAATAAGTTTTAGTACATACTAAAATTCACATAAACGGCTATTTGGGATAATTGAAAAATGTTTAACCCTTTCAGACTCCCCAATTGTCCCTCCCTCTCCCTTAAATATTTTGTGGGCCTCAAACTCTTCTGCGTTTTTGCATTTTGTTTCTCTCACTCTCTCATATCCGGCATAAAATTCCGATTGAATAGCATAAGCATATTGCATGCATACGATTGTACATAAAATTTTTTTTTCCTCATTTGAATGTATGGGAGGGGAATAAGGCAAATTATTTGATTGAAATTGCTTTTTTCTCATCATATGTACATATGTATGCATAGAATAAAGCTAGTGTACTGTCATAACTGTAGATGCAAATGTATATACAGCCAAAACTTTTCTCGATTTAAACGTCCTGCAAATTTTTTGATTATAAAAGTCAAACTTGTCTTATACTCACCGATTATTGTTAAATTAACAATACTATTTCTTGTTTGAGCTACTTTAAAATCTACTCGGCATCTATAAACACCTGAAAATGTGGAAAAAAAGAGATTTTAATTTTATATTTTTGGATGTGGGCTCTCCTTAGGTCATTCATTAATGACGTTCATTTTCATGCAAGACTGCCCACAGTAACTGCAAATTCCGCTTGAATGAGATGTGAATTGAAGTTTTTCCAAATTATGCATAACCAAAAACTTTTAATTCATATTTTTTCGACCATATGAAGCTCATCTAAAGTGCTTTTGAATCAGCAATATCAAATCATCCTCAAAAATCCATTTACCCGTAATTTTTGGCTTAAAAAAAATGCGAACCAAAAAAAATTCCCAAGCACCATTCACAAACTGAAAAATGCATGATTAATTCTGAACAATGTTCACTACTTTGCAATTGAGGTACTTGATCTACATGCGCTCGCGATGAAGTGCTTACATGGAAAATATTTTAATCACATAATGGACAATCAAGGATCAGGCAATAAATTTTAAGTTTTACTTGTCCATTCGTTGAGTTTTTCGATTACATTTTTCATTTCAATGAGGGGACAAGTGATGATTGTGAATTTTATGGATATCCACGGCGCTGAGAACTTGTTTAATGTTTAAACTTTTACTTTAAATTATGTACAGAAGTTTTAAATTTATTGGAATGAAGTTGTAATGGATTGTTAAGGATGGAATGATGGTGCTATTGAGTATGTAATCACTTTTGGTGAAATAAATATTGTCAGAAGGTGTTGTTGATGAATCTGTAAATAGGACATTACTCTATCAGATAATAATATGATGTCTGTATGCTAGGAGCTACATTCTATGGCTACAAACGTTATGAAGCAAAGATTTGATCTGAATCTCTCTTTGGCTAGCTATTAGGGGATTCAGTGATGCTCCTAGCTGTATCAATCTGAGCAAACTCCTGAAATAAGGTTAAGTGATTCCAATTTTAGCATTTCTGAAGACTCTTCAATCATTCCAACCATCGATGAAAACACAAGCAGATTAAAATTGCAAGAAAACCTCAATTTCTCATATTTCCGTTCAAATTAATCCAATTCTAATTAGCAGATGCTTTCAAGTAGGAAGGTCGGATGTTCGTGACTTGCACAATAATTATCACAATTCTCGAGGTAATTTCGATCATCATTCATTGGAACGATGAAAAAAATTGAAAGGATTCATTATGTAATAAATTGCCAAGAACTTTTTTTTCTTCTCTCGTTGTTTGTCTTAATTTATCGGACCATGCAGAAAGAGCAACAAAAAACGAGAGATAATGAACGAGCATTATCTGCATATGTGTGGATAAAGGAAGAAAAAATATTTTTCCGATAATGTTCATCTCTATACGAAACCAATTGGCCATACATTGCTCACAATGTGAATTTAATTGGCATATTTATCATTAATTAATATAAAAAGTAGATATTCAATATTTGAATGTTGCGAGTCTCATGGGAGCTTTAGGCAGCGATGTAGCGAGGGACTGGAGGGTAAATACAAGATTTCGAGATGCAACGTCTTTGGAAACGGTTTAAATAATCAAAATCTAAAGAAGAGTGTTCCTTTGGGTAAAGTCTAGACACAAGACTTTGAAAAAGTGCATAAACTAAGCTATACAAAGCTAGCTGCCTTGGTTTATCAAGCATATATGTTTTAGACTCTCTCACTACACCCCTTCAGCTGTTCCCGAAATTGAAATAAAAGACTGAGATAATAGAATTCCTGAATCAACAGAAACAGAAGTTTCCATTATGTGACTCAACAGCATTGTTTTAAATTCCTGAGCAACATACCAAACATAGCAAAAGAGGAGATGGCAAAAAAAAATTGAAAAATATTCGTAATTTTTCATCCTTCCATTTCCATTCCTCTATCCGCTCTCTATCCGAATTCCTGGCAATAAATTTTATTTGCTCAAAATGTAAATGAAATTTTTATGAATTTCACATTTTTTTCTCATCTCTCGAAGCTCACTCCTCCCACAAATAAGCACTTCTTCTTTCACATCTCATCTCTGCATTATTTTTCATTTCACATGAACATTTATTGTGGTAATTGATATAATAAATTATTATACCTGTATCTGAATCTTTGGCATTCTGTACCGCTAATTCACCAGGCAACTTATCAAATAAAAAATATGCTCTATTGGAAAACACTGTTTCATCGGACCATCTTTTTGCTGCATTTGGATCTCGATCACGTATATCGACGCTGAAATGGGAAATAGAGGAAGAAAAGAAATTTATATATTGTAAGTGAAAATTTATTTTTTTTGTGTGTGTGTATGTCTATGTATGTTATAGGGAATCATGCATCTAAGTGGTTAGTCTGCTATTGCTTCATGTATGCAGTTAACTTTTTTACTACTTTTTTCTCTCTTTATTTCCTTCTTCTTATTACCATTTTTCGGTACTTTTCTTCCTGAAAAAGTTTTCAATTTTACACTCGTGTGGTGGTCGTGTGGATGTTATGTGACGTTTGGTATGAGCAATATGATTTCTTAAAGGATGTTGCTCTGATTGGTCTTTCTTAATCTGTTGATCGTACTTTCAGACTCCATAAAGGGATGTAATAGGATTACAGTGATAAAATTGAAGATGGTTGCCGCAACCTTATTTTACCATTATTCATTAGGACCTATTAGTAACCCTCCTCCTAATCCCTTGTAAAATCTGTGCATTTCGTTTGCTTTTGGACCTTACTCATCCCGACATAGACTTTCTAGTAAGAAGATCCCCTTCCAATCCATTCCATAACATCCAAACAGCTCCCCATTTAACAAGCTAGCATCCTCACACAAGGCATTATAAAGAAATCTAAGCACATTGCATGACTACTGTAAAAGTTTCAACCAATTTCATGTAATTTTATTTATGGAAATTATGTATTGCTCACTCTTGTGCATGGAATAGTTTGAATTAGATTTTTAGTCACATACAAATTTATTTGGAGCAGGAACTAAGGTGGAAACTATCGATAGATGGTTTTTTTGGGATGTTTATGCGCATTTGTTGGGTTGGATGGTGCTTTATATTCTAGGATAGAAGTTTATTTGGATCAACATTGATGGAAGAACTGAATAAAACTTATCAGGTGCTGTTTGAACCTCAACACAGCCTCAATAATGAATTATTTAAAAGAAGGATCTAATAAGCCAGTTGTTGACGAAGCATCATGGAATATAGCAAATAAAAATTACCTAGCATTTCTATAAAAGCCATTTCAACATATGATAATGGATTCTACAGTAATAATATCCATTAAAAACAACATATTCCACATCCATTCTACCACATAAGCTAAATAAAAAATAAATAATAATAGAGTCCACATAGACAAAATGACAGATCATCAGCTTTCAAATGATAATCCGGAAATGCATCAAAAAATTACATATAAAATAGAGAAAGAGCTTGTTAAAGCATTAGAGAAAGTAATTACATATATTTTATATTCTACTGCAACATGTTGATGAAAAATCACAGAATATAAAAAAATTGTCGCCACACATGGATACAAAAGGATTTACTTTTTGTCTTTAATTTCATTTTTAATTCTCTTATTGCCTTAATTTCGAATCTGTATGTACTGTAACTATTTTGTATCTCTTACCCTCAAAAGCATTTTTTTATAAAAAACAATTTAAAACATGAAAAATGCTAGCTGGAAAATTCTTTTTCACAGATATAGCATTTTTTCGTTAAATGAAGTCGTGAACATGACAACTGTGTTTTTTTCAGCTCTCACTCCCTCCTTTCTGTGTGCACCATACTACAAGCTTTTACTGGTAAATGCAAAAAATGCTTTTGTACTCTACACTACCATATCCCACAATGTTTTGGATTTATCAGTTGAATTCTCATGTAGTTTTTCAAGTTTTTCTATGTACATGTGAGACACAATGATCCCACATTGATTTTCATTTTTTTGAATTTTTTAAAACTTTTATTAGTGAAGCCACGGGAGGGGGTGTTAGGAGATGGCATTAAAGGGTTATTTACATATAGATTTTACATTTTTGAAGGATCGGTTTCTAAAGTAAAAGAGAGTCAAGAGATGCCTTATAGTTAATTTTCAATGTAAGCTCATTTTTGCATAGATGTCATTTACAGATGACTCCCAACACGAGTTTCAAGTCATCAACTTTGTCAAAAAGTAGTATAAATGATTATTTTGATGCAAATTAATTACAAAGTTTTGCTGCATCTTAACCTCTGGATTCACATGTTAAGTTCAATTCTGGCTCAAAATTTCCTCAAAAACTTCCTAAGATGCCTCAAAATAGTTTTAGTCTCAATCTTAAATTTTATGCAGTTTGTTGTGATTTAAAAAAAATCTTAGCTCCCTCTCTTGACATCAAAGTAAATGATGAGGATAAAATCGCGAGTTTTCTGTTTTTGGGGTTGACAACAATGGCTCTAATGTTTCTGCTCGGGTCATCTACTTGAAAATATCGGATCATTCGTCCTTCATTAGCAAGTTCGCTTGAGGGTGTTGAATTTTTTTGGGAAAAAAAATATTTATAGCCTAGTGAAAAATGTTAATTGTCTGGGTGGGTGTAATTTGACTTTACTTAAAATCCTTTTTTGTTGAAAATATTTTGTAAGGAGGAAATAGATGAAAGTGTTTGAGATGGTTGAGTGACTTTGACTGACGTAAAAGAAGATATTTATAGACATAAATTAATTTTGGAATGGAATTTAAAAAAGTTTAATTCTTATTTTATCAGACAGATACTCTTTTATACTTTCCCCATTATTTAAAATCAAACTTAGTCGATAAATTGCACTTCATAGGAACTTCGTCATTTCTCATTGAGTCAAAATCATTCTATGTTTCAATTCAAATTGTGAGAATTAAATTGCAACACAAATAGAATTTAACTAACTTCATTTATGCTTTTATAGCTTATGGGGTCGTTCATCAATGATGTTCTATACTTAAAAAAGTAGTAAGATTTGTAAGTTTTGGTTTACTGGTAGCATCTAATTGTTGATATGGGAGAAGACAGTTGAAGTGTAGTGGGAATCAGGAATTAGGAGTCTTAAAAACTAAATTCAATAAAAATCATCAAAAAGATAAAGAAGCAGGCGTAACCGGGGGAGATTTGGGGAACCCAACAGAATTTTCGTTATTTTGCTAGGGTTTTTATGAAAAAATCACAAAAATCCCCCCCCCCCTTAAATTTTCCATACATTTTGTCCCCCCCTCTTCAAATTCCTGGCTACGCCCCTGTAAAGAAGAAACCACAAAAATTAAAAAATATCAACGTGACATCACTTACAAACGACTCCCTAAAATATCATAAAAATAATCTATTTCGCTGTTCGTGATATTATCACATATAGACTAAAATAAAAAAAAATTGAAAATAAAGAAGAATGAGGTAAATTAATAAAGCTTGAACTGCTTGATTTTCATCATCATTCTGCAATTGATTTTTCTTTCTTCTACTTCGTCTACCCCCACAAGAAAATAAACATATAAACAAATTTTTTCATGATGTTGAATTGAATTATTTCCAATTGAAAATGAAAAGTTTTTTTTTCCTCTTTTTTTTTATTCATTTCTAATTGAAAGCAAACCAACATTATAATTGCCGAGAGGTTAAATGTTTGTTCACGATAAATATAAAAAGAATGTAGAATATAAAAAAAAGTTTTTATTCCTACATATTTATTCAAGGGAGCTGTCTCCTTTTGTGTGTGTCTTTTACTCTCTTTTGATTCACAGCACATACAATAAAAACGTAAGGGAAATAGAGGAACGAATATTCATACAGCAGAGACAATAAAGCATGCATGCTTGGTACGAGGTAGGATGGTATTCTGCATGTGAATGAAAATGAATTTTTTTTTATTGCTATATTGTTTTTATCTATGTGTGTGCACTAGCTCCTACTGTCTTTTGTGGCTGGCGAAGGTGGAGAACATGAACATTTTCACATCTCTTGAACATACACAAAAAACGAGGTAGGTAGGTTCTTTTGAGATCTGCCGTTCATTCAAATTCATAAAAGTCGCTTTTTATTATGAACAACGACAATGATTATGCCAGGAACAAAAAAAAATATTCCTTATTTAACTGTGTTTGTGCCTTTTCCTTACACACTGCATTGTTGCATAGAACATAATCACGTTTCTCGTTTATGAATATAATGCAAGTGCATGAATTTTTCACCTTTTGTTTTTCAGGAATAATTAAAACCATAATTTATGCTTTTATACAGCATAAAAAATGGGAATGATGAGGGAAAAGGAGAGTGAGGAAAGAATAACAAACCAGCAGTTACAGCTATAATGTAAAAGAAACTGTTTTTGTTTTTATAAGCATTGAAAAAAAATGAAACAAAAACAGGGAGACGCAATGCAACGTGATGATGTTAAAAGGTATGTATTGTGTCTTGACGGGATAGAAGAATGAATGAGATAATAATCGAGCTTTTTCATCTAGTTATTCAAGTAGAATATGAATGAAGGATATATGAATTTCCAAAATAAATAGTGACCTGAGCGCAGTTCTGGAGCCTGTTTCTCTGTCGAAGAAACCAATGCTACTTTGTAATATAAATGCGTTCATTAAATCTTTGGAATATGTGATAATCTACTTTTTCAAACCAATTTCACTTCCCTGACTATAATTCAATGCCTTGCAAATATGTTAATCATTCCTATTTGACTTGATCTTGCTGGATGTTCGAGTTTTGGTTCGACACAACTTGCAAATATTAAGGACTACTGCTTGTTGAATATTTCTTCTAGAGATGCAGATTAACACATGCTTAATGAGCTTCGTACCCTTGAAATCTTCTTATGAACCAAAAAACACATCAACTTTTATTTCATTATATCCTACGCAACATCATGATTGCAATACGAATGATCGAAATTTTTGTGATATAAAATCACATTTCTTCCCACACAAATACTAGGAAGGACTTATCCCAATGGCGTTTAGAAGTTAAGACATTTTGTTTTCTTAAATTAAATACAAAAGTCCTACTTTTGAAAGGTTTAACGTTAAAATAGACTTCTGTGACTCCCACATTTTGCCCTGAAGGGTAGAAACTGTTGTTGTCGTACTTGATGTAATGGAATGTAACTTATTTTGGGTTCAACAATTTTGGAATATCTGTAACAATGGAACATATTTTGTGATATGTTCCCAAAAGTTTGCAACCTTAAAATATTGAAGAATGTTTAAAAAATTTTTTTACATATGTGAACAATTCTTTAGTTTACTCAATAATTTATGTCTGATTTATTTTGAGGCTTCAAAGCTATTGTTTAAAAATTGTGGCAATTTTAATCATTCGACCCACATTTGTAGCTTAAAGTTTTTATATTGCAAAATTAATAAACTAGCCTCAAGCTGTTATTTTATGAATAATAATAAACTTTCCTAGCCTATCGATGTGCTGACTTCAACATTATCATAGCTGATTTTAATCATTTCTGGTCTCCAGCACTAATTGCCAAAAATTAATTAAATATCATCAACATCAAACATTCCCCACCTGCATATTTGCATCATCCAGAAGTAGAACATTTTTGAATAAAATTTAAATAAAAAATATCTTTCAAGACAGCAAAGAACAAGCATGAAATAAAACGATAAAGAAAAGACCCATTAGTGTCATTGTAATCAAGAAGGTTACTCTGCTGTCGTTCTACTTAAATATTTAATTGAAAAAATAAATGCAAAAATTTAAATTCACGTATCGCTCGTGAGATCTTTTCGAGTCGTTTTAAATCTCAAGTCAACAATTTGTAGCAACAAACACAATTTTTTTGTGTTTCACAAAAATGAAGCTAACGAAGAGAAAGAAAAAAGTACAAAAAAGTTTTTCCACATTTTTTAAACGGAAAATTTGTTAAGTAAATGTGTGTTTATGAGAAGGGGATGAATAAGATTGAAATTATGTTGGAATTAAGCATTCTTTAGTTGGATTTAAGGTTATCTTTCAGCCATAGGAAGGAATGTGGTAGCTATCCTAGGAACCTCGACTCGAGATTTTTATTGATTCTGTAAGGCAGAGTCAACTAGGCTCCATACAAAATCTCATCGAAATTAGAGCTCTGTTTTGTAGGATTTCTATAGTAGCTACCAGAGAGAGTCTTATTTAGTGTTTTAAAGCTCCTAAGGTAGCTAGCAACCAGCTTTTGTTCTTCATGAACCTGCATTAACCTCTGTGGACCTCCCTGACGATGAAGCATAGCCATAAGGGTGGTCAAAGGGGTTCCGGAAAACTTTTCCTGACTAGTATATAAAAATTAAAATTGAGCTCTATTTCCACCACATTTCCAACTTATTCGCCCCTTTATGAATGTGTATAAATGCACAAAATTTGTTTCTGAGAATGAAAACAATGAACAATAATATAAGAAAGTAGCAGAAAAGTTTGTATTTACTATATTAATACGTGTAGTATCAGTATATGATGAACAAAAACTTTTCATATTAAGACTCACCTATATATTGGAGTTCCTTTGTCTTCCCGATACCATAATATGAGTTCAATATCATCATTTATTTCCTGCGTACTTATATTACATGGAAGATATACTGTCTCGCCAATCAGTGCCTCGATTGAAAAGGAAGGAACTGGAAAATAAACAAGCATGTATCTTAAATTAATGTATAAAGTTCAATATTCAGTTCAATTTATTTCCACTCATTCCAAACAACACACAGACATTCACAAAAGAGACGAGATATTGAAGAGCTATGCTGCTCAAGAGGTAATTTAGTTTCAAAATGCTTCTCTCATACATGCTCCGATTTACATAATGTATCCTATTTGCGACGCGACATCTCAGCAAAAATGCGTACATCTTTTTACGCTTACAAGCATTTACGTGACGTTTTTGTTATTTCTTCTTTGCCTTCCATTTCCATTCATTTCATTTCCATGAACAACTATTTGTATATCGAATGTAAACGATATAACATACATACATACATACATATTCCCACATCCATTGTAATATATATATTTTTTTTTGTGAATTCTTAGAAAGCTTTGTCAAGTCACATGCTCTATGATGTAATTCATTCTTCAAGTCATGCCAAAATTGTAAGAATGAAGCAAAAAATATTCGTTTAATATGTAATGGGTAATATTCATTTAATGCATCACATTTGTTAGTAACTTTATTGCCACTTTACGAGTGAAATATGTATGATTATATGTAAGCATTTCCAGTAAAGTGGCTTAAAGTGTCTGAAAGACAGAATGTTGTGTGCATTTCGATCGATATCCGGGGACAAACGTTTTGCTAAAGGATGACATGAGTTTAATCGGGATGGTTTTTTTGTGGATGAGATCATTAGTTTTAGTGATATTGAGGTGCTTTTACAAATGAATGCTTTCAAGCTTTTATGTCTGGAAATGTTTTTTTTGGGATGTGAATTGGGTTTGAATCATTCTTTGATGTCTGCTATTTTTAAAACTTTGTGGGAGTCTGTATGAGATCCATAAAAGACCAAATCTGCCAAAAAACTGGTCAATTTTACAAAAATTTTAAACATTTATCCAAGGCTTCAACCAGCTAATCCACATAAGTTTTAAACATGTGTTCGTAGACCATCCAATAAAATCTTCAATATTTACCATAACATGACCAAAACCACTCAAATGATGATTGAGAATCATCTCAACAAAAGTCAAATTCTCCAAGTCATGACATTGTGTGTATTGCGTCTGATCCAGGCAATAATTTATGCTTGGCATTCCAGATTGATGACAGAAGTTAATATAAATTATTACTATCATCAATGCTATTCTTAGGTCTAGTCGTATGCTTTGTGTCACACGATTATATAACCTAGGACAATATAGCTTTGTTTCCAGGAACAAGAAAAGTTCTTAAATATTCAATATGCTGCATATTTATAAAGTAGACTAGTAAAATTTTCAGAAAATACAATAGAAAAATTTCCCTTTGATTTTATATATCCATTGTAAACAGCCATAGCGAATATTATTCAATAAAACTTTCAATCCAATGCACAAAATGTTGAGGAATCTCGCGAGCTATTGAATATTTTACTAGGAAATATGAAATAAAAAATTTCTAGGAAAATTGAGTAACAGTCTTATACAAAAGTTCCATTTTTTGTCAAATAACTGCAAGCATAAAATATTGAATGAATTCGAAAGTTCTTCCGCGAATTTGAAAAGCACAATGTACACACACAGCATATAAGTTTCAATAACTCTCGAGCATACAATGTAACATAAAAGAGAAAATATTTAAATTCAATTTTTCTCTTACGGGATGTTCACAAGTGATGTCTTTCAACAAAGTTGAATATTTGAAGGCGAAAATTCCAATATTGCTGAATTGATTGTGTTTGGTCCATTGGTTTACTAGTTTAGTGCTTTAGTCATTTATATTCGTAACACCGACTCAGTAGTCATGGGTTCGAGACTCAGATTGACAGCTTATGTTTTATTAGAAGCTCAGATTCTGTAGTTGGACCTCATTCGCTGTTCTTGATGACAGTAATCAATTGACACGTCATAAAACTCTTCATCCCACCCTCTTCTCCTTTCCTAACTGTTGGACATCATTAATTAACGACCCTTTATCCCGGAACTCGTGATGTCTACTCATCCATTCAACATGATACTCTTAACTTTCTGATGACAAAAGCGAAATGTTTGAATAATAAAAGCCATTAAGTGTAGTACTTAATACAATTTAATTGGCATTTTTCCTCACATTCAGTTCTCTTATGCTGTCATTCAACCTTTTTTTCTCCCGCTTTCTATTCATCTACTTTCTTCGTATTCACTGCGTTGTTTTTCAGCTCGTTTAAATTAATTGAAAGGAAGTCAATGTTGAATGTTTTATTGAAAATGTAAATTTTTTAAAACTTTATTTTCTCCTCTATCAACACTACTCGGCATGTACGGTTTTACTTTGCAATTCTATCTTGTGTGTGCTTTATATAACCATGAGAAAATAGAGTGTAGATTACGTTGAAACATGTTTTTCATGATAGTGATGTTACTAATTAATTAATGGCAAATATTTGTTATAACACCTGCATTAAATCCCACAGTTAGGAACGTTACTTAACAGAATCTGAACAAACAGTGCTCATTGGGGGTGCTCATTAATGATGTCTGTTTAAAATGGGAATTTTTGAGGTTATGGAAGCTCTTTTGTAGCAGAAAATGCTCTGAAATAAGGAGGGTCTATTATAAATTTTGAACGTTACTTATGAACGACCCCAGGACTCTATTTTTTAAACATCATTCATTGTCTGAGTATAACACACTATTATTCTCCTATATGCGGTTTTAAAGTAGCTAAAGCTATCATTTATTACAATAAATTAAGCTCTATCATCTGGTCGAATTGTTCGTACTTTATTATATATTTTACTGAAATAATAATGTAGTAAGAGACTAACGAAGCATATGATTTTTTCAGGCATTATTATTTTTAGAATACTCAGAATGTAATGTAGGAGTTTTTATCGTGCAATTTCGTACCTGATTCTTTATATCAAAAATGAATTTAAGAAAAAATACTCCCTCAAGCTACTCAAGGTATATTCTTGGAATAATTCGGATCGAATAAAAAGAATGTTATTTAAGATCAATTTTCAATTTTCATCATGGCACACGTGAAGGTGCTTTGGAGGTATTTATGTAATCAAATTGTTTTTCAAAAAAATAGGCTTTTAAATAAAAATAGACCAGCGTTGTTATTATTCATGAAGCTACAGAAAATGGAGTGTAATCAAAAAAGCAAAAGGAGTCGTTTGATTTTTCACTCACAAGAACCTAGTCAAAAATGACTAGGTTCCCTACAATCTCATTTTACTATCATAAATTTTGAAATAAATTCCCCAGAACAATAATCCACAAATCTAATTGAGGAATGTTGCTAACAACTAAAAAATAAATTCCCACTAATGTGTGTAATCATGATTTAAAAGTGCCTTGTTCCGACTAAATAGTTCAATTATTCTATGAACAAAATAATCCTTAACAATTGAATGAGTTTTGACAAAGTGCAGCTAACAAAAGGAATTTTCACGAGCATTCAAAAAAATGCTTTTAAACTTATCGTGTGTGTGTGTTTTATACAATTTTTTTCTAAAAGCTTGAGGGTGGAATGAAGGAAGAAAGGAGAGAGAATGAACAAAAAAAATATGTAGTCTCATTCACTTACAGCATACAATGCGCTAACTGAAATATAAGGGCAATTTAGCAATTTTTCAATACGCTTTCTTGCATGAAGTATGCTGTTAAGTTTACTTTCTCATATTGCTTATGTAAATATCTTGTTTTGCCATTTCGTGTCTGGTGAACTTAGTTTAGGAAAAGGCACATTTCAAGTTATATTGTAAGTTCAGATCTTACTTTTGGATAGTTTCGCGCCAAAATTAAACTTTTTGATCTGATTTTGATCTGAGCTTCTAAGTTAATCTCGGTTCTTTAAGAATTCTGCATAACCAACAGTGACGAATTAAATTTAAAAGGCTTCGTTGGGAGGGCCATGTTGTCAGGTGACCTGTTGAAGCTCCCATTAATAAAGTTCTTATGTTTGATTTTGTAGATGGCAAAAGAGCACGTGAACGTCCCAAGAACTTTCAGAGAGAAGCTGTTGACAGAGACAGTAATTGGCAAGTGGCAGCCTGTAATAGAGCTAGATTCAGGCGCCATGGATTACAATTGATCTGTACGGCCAGATTTCAGATTCGATAGATCATTTAATTTGGCGCCAAACTTGGAAATGCTCAAGAATCATTTTATAAAACATTAATTTAGCTTGCAAGCAATTTTAATTTTAAGCTGCAGGTGTAAATTACATAGTTTGAGAACCACTGACATACTGGAACGCAGCATACACATTCATACATTTCTTTGGCTCATTACAATATCATGGATATAATGTAAGATGTTTTTTGGATCAATATATTTTCCGCTCACATTACTTTCTATCTCGCTCACCCTATCTTTATTCATTTGCCCCTTTTTTCCCTCCTTTCCAATAACGCATTATTCTTCTTCTTTTTTGGAGGCAATATTATATATCTTACATAATGTATATCTAAACATATTCCTGTTTTACTTACTCAATTCACTCACTTTAACAATATTCGAACAATCAATATACCATCATGCGTTATTTTTTGTGTGTAGCTGTGGTAAATGTTGAACGATACATAATATATAATAATAATAACAATGTATGGGAAAGCAAGAAGGAAAAACACTTTGGAAAATGAAATTTTCTTTCTACTGAATCACACTCAGCATCCGCCTGCTTTTTACTCAGTCTCTCAGTTCCCAAAACGAAAAAAAAATCACTTATTCAGCAATTTCGATTTGCAAATTCCTGATCCACGTAAAAGCTATTACAAATATTTTCTCTCATGATTCGGGTTTTTTTAGCGTATTTTCCTAAGGAACAATACGCTTTTATCTTCACTTTGGCTGGCTGGCTGGCTGGCTGGCTGGTACCGTGAGATCTCAGCAATGAAAGCATATAGAGCCTTCGGATTTTTTGCATTCAATCCTTGCCATATTGTAGGCAAACCGAATCCGCTTTATGTTTCATAACTTCTTACCAAAACTTAAT